ATGAAAGGTTCCGCTATAACTGGACCCGTTGCAAAAGAATGTGCCGACCTATGGCCCCGTATAGCCTCTAATGCGAGTTCGATTGCTTAAAAATTGTTTAGATTTTTAAATAAAGTTCATAAAAAACATATTTATTTATTTTTATTGTATATATTTTTTATTGAATCTTTTAGGAAATTCAAAACTTTATATAGTTGCACAAGAAGAGAACAATTGAGAACAAGGAGAGAACATTTGTATTTTACACTTTGGTCGGTTCAGTACGTTCGGTGGGTTTAGGTCGCGTTATATCCAAACTAATGCGTCCAGTGGCTCCTTTAAATAAAGCGTAACAAACTTCGAAAGTACAGCCTTCCAGTGAATCGCCATTGAATTTAGTTATTATGTCGCCGCGTTGTAGTTTATTATCGATGTCAGCGTAACCAGCGGAGGTCTAGAAGCAATAACGGTGAGCATTAGCAAACAAACATGTCTATGTCCGGCTTATGATTCTCGTTATCGAGTATACTACAACTGCCGATTATCAACTCGCAGTGAATAAAAAGTTTTTCGATCGTGAAATAGGTATTAGCTAACATATTCAAATTACGATTGACCTTACTCGATATCGAAAACCATAAATCGGCTCCTGCCTGAACGAAGAAGCACTTACAATATCAGATATTGTGCAACCTTTCTCATTGGGCGCTAGCGATAGACCCAATTCTTTACCCGATTTCTTAGTGAACTCCACTTTGAAATTCTCAAGTTCTGGTGGATCTGCTCGGTACACTACATATGTGACTTTATCGTAAGCCATGTGGAATAGTTGATGCACCTTTAGCGTTGTTATTTCATTGCATTTAACTTGAGCTCCGTTCACTTCTACTATGTGATCGAAAATTTTCAGGCGTTTATCGCTGGCCAAGACACCTTCCGGATAGATATGGGTGATGACGCAACCAGTCTGCAGAATAAATACATTTATTAGTATGGAATGTGTTATATTATCCGATTCGTTGCATGATAATAATTCTATATTCCTAATACCTTATAAATACCTTAGCAAAGTTTAGACTAAAGGATTATATCGTCTTGCCGCTGGACGAAACTTTGCCACACTTATGCTATATGGTATGTTAAGCTTACGAGCATGGTACGTTAAGCTATAAGCTTTGAATTTTACTTAATTAATAATTGAGCAGAGCTCAAGATAGACCCACCTTTCTTTTTATCGATTCGATATCATTTCAATTCAATAATAATTTTTTGATCGATTCAGAATTATTTTTTCAACCGATTTAAGTTTGTTTATCCACGAAATTTTATACTCGAACTACAGGTCGCAATCTTGAAAAGCATTCAGATGAAATTTGGTATACTAAGGTTATTTCGGATCAAAAGTGATTTGGATAGAATCATCTTGACGAGCATTCCCTGCGTAAGGTGTGAATTGCGTGTAATGTTTATGACAACATTTCTCGACACAAACCGGTGAACAAAATATATTTCGGAAATTTGGATTGAACTGGGCCATTTTTTGAAGCCCCTCCCATATCAACGTTCGTACAAATAGAATCGTTTTGCATGAAAAGAAGATCAAATTTTTAGTGTATTATAAGGAACACTGGTTCAGAATAGTTATTTAACATAGAAACTTGGTACGTTTGCACGACGTAGGTCCACTTTTTTTAAGATAAGTTTCGCAAACTTGGGTTGCGTCATTTCAGATACTCGAATCCCTTTCACAGGTAATGTATTGGAGAAAGTGGCGTAGGATATTGAACAGTGGGTCTATCCAGACTCTAACCTTCTTACTTATTTGAAGTTAATTTTGTTTATTTGCTCCCTCTCAAGACTGTTTTGAAATGCATTCCAGTTGTGTCATAGTATCATGTGCATTTTTAAATTTGGTCTGGGTCCATAAGCTAGGACACTCTAAGCGAATTTACAATGAAATCGTGACCGTTAAGATTAGATAGATTGAGAACCTAATCTCTTGAAGTGTCTAGCGGATATTTTTAGGCGTTACAAATGAAATGATAAATTAATTACATCGAAAATCGGTAGTGATTTTAAGGATGAATATTAAGAAAAATCAGCGCTGACAGCGCTTTTGTCTCGTATTTTTAACTAAATTAGTATTCATTGCTTTTAAATTCCCTCCCAAGGACATTTCAGCATAGAAAACATGTCTTTTTAATCAGAAAACTTCAACAGATCAAAGCCAACACTAATTTTAAAACAGATTTTTAGAAAATGTTTTTCACAACTTTATACCCATCACCGAGGATTAGCGGCATATGCATCTTGTTAAAACGTTTGTAATCCCCAGACGGAAGCATAAGATGCATGTGTACATATATTCTACTGATTTAAGTACGTCCGTCTATCTGTCTGCCTGTGGTAAACATTCTTCTGTTTGCAAAAATTAAGCGAGCGGCTTCAAATTTTGCAGGACGATTCGAAATTGCGGCACGCAGGTTCGTATTGAAATTGGATCCAATCGATGAAACGATGCGTCCAGTAACTTGAGCGCAACGTAGCCTGATATCAACTCTATTTGTCGCTTATAAACAAGAAGAACAAGAATATGAAATTTTATTTATTTACCAAAATGTTTACGACATCTAGAAAGAAGCCTTAAAAGTACGTATTATTCATCAACCTAGACATGTCTGTCACTCTGTCTGTCCATCGGTCCTTTAATTATTGTGGTAAGCATTTCTCTGATTGTAAAAATGAAGATGTTCTTTACACGCAGGTTGATATTGGAATTTGGCAAAGCTGGTAAAAGGATACGCCAACAGAGCAGTAAAAATTGAGAACAACTTGGCTTAATGGGTTTTTTTCCTGTTACGCATAGACTGTGACATAGACACATGATAGAAGTTTTCATTTGTATTCTACAAAATTAGAAAAAATTGGGCACGCCCACGCTAAATTATAGAGTATAAAAATCAATTTTTTTCTTTTTTTTTAGAATAACGATGAGGAATATACGAATTCGGTCGTAGAGCGAAGTTAACACGCGTACGTATATTGTAGTCGTCACTTCGCCTAACACTCGTACGCCAAAAGTTACACATTATTTTCATGCAAATACATACTTTTCAGGAAAACCCGCATAAGAGTGTTATTCAAAAAATAGACATACTTGGTCCAAATTCGGTAAGATTGGTGTCTGTGTGAATTTACTGTTATGAATTAATTTTAACCAATGAAATATTAAAAATTATACCTTTTTACTCTAGAAAGATTTAGTTTTCGTAGGGACGGTTGTACAAGGCAGGGTTTAAAAAATTACCACAGCCGAACCAAATTTTTTATATTAATTTAGGACGTCAAAATACTATTACAGAGCCAGTTTTGTCGCCGGAGTGTTTCAATTTTTTTCCATACAACGCCTTTGCAAATGGGAGCGTGGCTTATTTATATAGGGAATAGTCGAAAAAGTGGACCAAACCGAAGCATTTTCAATAGGGCTCGACCTTAGATCAACGGACATTCTTGTACTCAATTTTATCGAAATATCTTAAAAATTGCGGCTTGTAGGGTGATGGCAAATTTACGCGGGGAAACATCAGATTGATAGACGGACAGACATGCTTGTCGCTCTCGGTACAATAAAAGGTAGGTGTATCCTAAGGCCTTTTGCGTATTCCATACCTTCTTTGAAAACAAAAAAAAAAAAACTTTAAGCGATTCGTTATAGATTGATTCAGCGGACGTGAAATGAACTTACGATTGTTGGAATTTTAGATGAATACAAATACGGTATCACTTTCATTTCTGTTACTTTTACCTTAACGTAATTATTTTTGCCTCCAACGACAATTACGCCCAACGGTTTTTTCTCTGCTTTCACTTCTATCAATGTTTTTCTATTTAATTCCACTTCACATGTTGCCGGATCTATTGGTTTTTCCGGTTCTTTTGGCTTCTCTTCTTTCTTTTTATCTCCTTTATCGGCTTTATCGCCATCTTCGGCTTTCTTGTCGTCTTTCTTTTCGGACTCTTCCTGTTTCAAACTCATTACCACCAGATTAACAATGCCTTCGCTACGTTTTAGTAAAGCCACTGCCTAATAGGGAAAATAAACTTATGCCTTGATTTTCTTAAAACTAACTAAATTTAATTTTATTGTTACTTCACCTCATCGTATGTGGACTCCAAGGTAACATCTTTGTTTACAGCCATTAATAAGTCACCAACTTTAATACCCGCCTAATAAATTATAGGAAAAGTTTTTTTTTGGTGAAATATTAAGCCCATTAAGCGTACATACCAACTGAGCATTTGATTCTTCGCGTAGATCGGAAACGAATATACCGTTGCCAACTTCTTTGTGTTTGCCATAAATAACCATAATACCCAGGAAACCCTCTTTTTTAATGGGCACTGAACGAGCTTTGGGAAATTGATCGAATAGGAATTTGGTCTGGAAAAATTCAAATTTTACAAAATATATAGAGAAAGGAAAAAGTCCAAGTTTCTTCTCTTTTGCTTACATCGTCAACTTCGGGTGGAAATCGTTTAACTGGTCTTACGCTCATATCGTCAGAGGCTTTTCGTCGCGATGTTATCAAAACAAGTTTATCACAATCGACATTTTTAAATATGACTGAAGCGTTGAGATGACAGCGGTTTTTCAAAACATTACCATTAGCTTCAAGTATTTCGTCGCCAGGTTTTATATCTGCCGAACCGAATAGGCCATTCGGATTTACACCAGCCACAAAGCAAGCCATCTTTTGACGATCACTATGGCCCGCCAAAGCCAAACCCAATGCTTGATTCGGTGGTTTAGTTATTTCCACTTTTCGTAGATCACTCATTAAGTTGTAACGTTTTTTAATTTTGGCTTAAGACAAAAACATTAGAGGGAATAATTTGAATTAAAAAGAAGAAGAAAAGCAAAAAAAAAAAGGCAACTCTTTGTACCCATTGTATAGCCAAATTCATCTTCGGTTTCTTTATCTCGATCCTTTTCGCTTTTATTTAATTTACAGTTACCCGCTGAGGCACGATCGATCTGTTAATGCAATGAATGGCAAGTCTTAACAAAACGAAGAAAAAAATAAAAAAAATTTTAAAAATAATAAGACTTTACCTCAAAACCGGCCTCTGTTCTAATACGTCCCGTCATATCACGTGTATCGTCCTCATCGTCATCCTGATAATTGCTATCCATTTTTGACGACTGAATTGTCGAAGTATTTTTAAGTAAAGAATTAACATTCGGTGGCTTTTGCTTAATGCTGGGCGCTAGGTTAAAATGAAATCATTAAACTCTTTGAGTAATTAAGTTGAAAAAATTGAAAAATATTTTTTCTATCATACCAGGCCCAAGCCTAGGCTTATTCTGTATAAAACCATTTTCTCGATTATCTGAAACTTTCTTTTCTTCTTGCTGGAATCAAATAATAATGAAATAAAATAATATGAAATCTTCTCAATACTTCGAATTGATTAGTCATTCAATTCTTTACCTTATCGAATGTTTGTATCTCTAAATTAATTTGAATACCGGCATCTTTAATTAATTCAATCACTTCTTGTTCGGTAGCATTGCGTACATCTTTATCGTTTATGGATAGTATGCGATCACCAACCTAAAAAAGAAAAAAGAGAAAAAACAAGTAATGAAATCTTTTATATCCGAATTGCAGAAGAGAGTCAAAAAAAAAAAAGAAAGAAAAAAATTATCTTTTCATACTATATAATATTTTGTGGGCATGGCTGAAAGTTTTTATTGTGCATCTAGCGTAATGTTATGAGTAACGAGCGAAAAACACACGAAGCAAATATCTTATCAGTTTTCATGTATGATAGGTGTGCCCTTTGATCAGATGGGGATACTTAGGTGCATTCCCAACTTGGCACAAGCCACGAACGTAAGTACTTTATGGGGTTTTTGAAGCTCACTTCCGAGTGTTGCAAATGTTTTTAGAAAGAAATTATGTTGTGATGCGCCATAATGTTGAGTGGGCGTCCTCGTATTGTATAGCTGCCACAACGTAGCCCATAGAATATACACGAAAATTTTAATAGTCTTATCCATAGTAGTTTTTGGGTAATCAACGAAAAACAATTTTTGTTTTTGCCTTCAAGTTGTTCCCAGTTTACTTGGCACTGTGGGCGTGAACTGATTTCGACCATTTTCACTACCAATCTGTGCGCAAGAACTTTCACTGTTTTTGCCGAATTTGAAGACGAAAGCTTGATTTTTGCGATCAGGAGAATATTTACACCAGACGGACAGACGGATAAATCGATTTAGAGTTTAATGTTGATTAAAAACACTGTTGGCTTTCTGAAGCGTCCTTTTCCTATTTTCTCTTATGAAAACTCGTATACGAGAAGTGATCCTATATTCATTTGTTCCAAATTTAGTGTAGGACACTCATATATCTAGTAGGTATCCTTTTAAAGCCTTTTTTTGAAAAGATATTAAAGAAAGACACGAAGTGCCATAGGGCCAAGTTTAGTGTTTTACTTGCCGCTAAGTTCAAAAAAAAAGTTAGTATAGCAAATTTCTTTTTCTTCTTTTACTCAGCAAATTAACAACCAAAAGTTCGCTGGGATGTGTAAAAAAGGGCCAATTTGAACACAGAGTTCTTTGTTTCGTTCTTAGTAAAGTTGGGGTTAGATGTGCTACATGTTGTTATTATTTTTAATTATTTTACTGATTATTTGATTAAAGATTTTTTTTTTTTAATTCTCCGTCTATGTCCGCCACGTTATTCATCTAATTTTTTTTTATACTTTTTATTAAAATACGCATATTACTCGTCTTCATCATGTAGGATAGAACAAAAGAGTGAGGAGCAAATTTGATCTAAACATATCGAGAATTTTTCAAAGAGTTATAGTTTTCTTGTTACCATTTTTGAAAGTGACGAAAATTAAAAAGGCTCTCGAAGAAAAAATTGTACAAGTTACACGAATAATTTACAGAATCATAGATCAATGATTTATTCTATTATTAGTACTATGTATGGATTGGAAAAATTCATATAGCATTCTCCGTGCAATGCAAATGAACGAAACGAAATTTTTTACAAAGTCCTTCAGTTTACTTACCTTTAATTTTCCGCATAAATGTGCTGGACTCTCGGGTACAATGCCTTTTATAAAAATTCCTGTCGTTTTTGTATTCGGCGAGTCTTTAACCTATTTGAAGATAGAGATTAAAACGCGAAAGCTTGTAGGTAAATCTTAAGCGTGAATAGTACGATGCTCACCTCTCCCCTTACTATACATATGCCAAAGGATCGTTTACCAGTTTTATCCAATACTACCGTATGTATGTGACCTTGGGGAAAAGAAGAAAGAAAATAATTAAGAAATTTTTCTCTTAAGATCGATTAAGAAGTTGACAGTTGTTCAATAGTTTATTAATTGTAAACTTATTCCTAAGCTCAGGAGACCTTAAATATCTAAGTAACAATACTTCACTTATATCGGGAGTTGCTATTGAAAATATTGAACAAAATTGTCGGCGTTTTTTCAAAGTAGTTTCAGTTTCTTATCTATTGCGGGCGTGTTTGTTAACAGAACACAATTTTCTTAACCTTGGATTCTTAACTAATCCAGGAATGCTTTCGCTGAATTTTAACTCTCTCACTAATAGTTCAATATTTTTTGTTTATCGTGAGCATATTTACGAAGGGATTCAACTGTCAAAACAGGATGTTAGTGGGCTGATCTTCCGGTCGAATATTGTATCTATGCAAAGAGGGGTATAATATGGAATATTATTCGTCCCAGGAATTTTGAAAATTTTAAATTTCTTAATAATGTAAACAGAATAAAATCATGTGTGTAGTTTTTGTGGCGGATGTAAATATTAAATATGTAATCCTCTTTTTGTTTTGGTATTAGTTTTGAAGGGTTTTGTCCTACTGGAATACGAAGCGAATGGTTAACGGTCCTTCCATTCGAAAACGTGATTAACATATCGATCATTTTCTAGTTCGCGGACACAATACGCGTTTAAGAATTTATCAGTGAAATAAAATAAAAAAACTTTTAAAAACACTAAAAACTGAATTTAAGAGGCCACGACCCGCCCTTAAATAACCGACACCACTTCGCTTGCTTTATTCATTAAACGGTCTTTTCAAAATAAGGTCTCCTATGGTAAGCGGTTGGAAAAGTAGTCGGACTCGAACCATGCCCCTCTCGAGCCAAAACATGTCAGTGTACCAAATTGCCTGTAGGCTGAACGCACGAAAACGAGACGGACATTAGGACAGACGAACAGGCAACCTTAGATCGATTCAAAAAGCGATTCAGAAATTGATTCCGATTCGATAGATATAATAAAAGGTGGATCTATCTCAAGTCCTTCTACTTCATACTTCTGCATGAATTAAACATGCTTTGTACTACAAGTGATGTAGGGTGTAAAAGTGTACCCTGTATGTGATTCAGATCAGTTAATTTTCACGATTATATTACTATCATGGACCAATTGTCATCATAAAATATTACAACTTACACCTCTTTGCCAAAGGGCTCACTACTCATCACAACTCTTATATGGAATGCAATTCATGTTTGGTCCCTTTAATTTTTATATCAAATTACAACCATAGGCAAATTTTCATCACCAGGTATTATATGTTCGTATCGGCAATGAGCTAAATCTGTTGAAGGACACGCCTACAATATTACGTAAAGTAAGGGTAGCTATGTTCTTCAAAATAATAAAAAATTGTGTTTTGCTAGTTACTCATAAGCTAAACGGGATAAATTTAAAAAAATTTGGCTGTATGTTATGCTATGGGTGACAAAATGGAAAAAATCGGTCACGCGTGTTTAGTTTTATTGTGTGTCAGAATTTAATTATTTTTTTCAAAACTTTTATAACGCAAACAAGTAAGATTCAAAAATCCCATAAAGTACATAAATTCTGGGCCAGTCAAACATTCAGAATGCACCTAAGCAAGTCCGTTCATTCATCTGTCCCTCTGTCCGCCTGCGTAACTTTGTAGTATCTGTGATAAACACCCTTCCGTTCGCAAAATTTACATAAATTTGCAAAAAAAGATTTGAAAGTTTACGCAAACTTTTCAAGAAACACGCCTACAACGCCCACACGTCTTTGTAAGAAAAGCTGTGAACACCTTAGCTTTCCGTGTTTTTTGCTTGCCACTTATTAATTGCAAGAAATACATCAGATAAATAGAACAAAACCATGCCCGTCCAATGCTATAGAGTATGAAAATTTAGTTTTTTTGCTTCTTTTTTAGGATCACGATGATGGGTATAAAAGATTCGATTCGATTTCGACCGAATATAATTTTCTTATTTGTTTTCCATTAGAAATCTTACATGGAATACGATCCAAAAAATAGAGGTGTATGGTCCAAATAAAGTTACTTTCTATCTCGAATTACTGTTGTGGACCCAATTATGACGTGAAATTTTGAAAATGAGATATTTTGTATGTATATTTTCCAGTTCAGTTTACAATGTCGAAGAAATTTTCTTCGTATAATTATTTTTCATATAACTAAGATGTTATATGGAGAGCGGTCGAAAAAAAAAAAGTGACCGAAAGCATTTTCGTTAAGGTTCACGTTGAGCCCAAAACAAGTCAGCGTATCGCCTATTCCGTCAAAATGTCCCAAAAATTGTGATCTGGAGCTTGAGCACGTAAATACAAGGGCAGACGAAAGACGGACGCACAGACGGACAAGATTAAGTCGATTAAGGAAGTGATTCTGAATCGTTTAATCTAACGCAAAGTGGATCTATCTGAAGCCCTTTTCAGTGTTACATACATCCGCACGAAGTTAATATATCCTGTACAACAAATAGCGTAGAATGTGGAAAACATAAGGAATATTATTGGACTTGTATTTTGTACCGACAGATATTGATCGCGATCTAAATTTATTGCTCGTATTGCTCATTAAAGTGATGGCGTAAGTTGAAATGCAACGAAAACAAGTAAGAAGAAGAAGTTTATATTTTTCGAGGAGTATGGAGCATGGTACCCCACTCTCCGAGCAACAAGAGATCTAGAGAACTATATAACAGAACAGATTGCCTTATTGTGGACACGTGGACAAGAGGAAACTAACGAAAACGCCGATTCTTAAGGGAATTTATTGCGATGATGTTGACTTTTCAGCGACAAGGTGGAAAGACAACCAGATTGTTGCTTTGATGTCCACTTCTATTGGCTCACAACCCGTGCAAAAATCTGTCGGCATGACAAGCGATTAAAGCAACAGATCGCTATCCTCTGCGGCAGAGTCTAATATGCGCATAGAATAGCTAACTGGATAGCTACTTAGGTCGCTATTGCCTATCCGCCTATTCTACCATCCATTGGACTTTACTGCAAAGGGCATTGTAAAAGGCTTTCCACACAAACATCTACTGGCTGATGCTCTTTGCAATGTGGAATCTCAGCCTGGCCTAGTAGTGGCTCTTTAGAGGCGAAAAAACTTAGAAGACTGAGTTGTAGAATTCCCCAGTGGCCATGTGGCAAATACAATGTTTGAGTGCTAAAAACAATTGTTTTACCCGTTTTCGTTGACTTCAATGTAGTGACTGACATTATTATTAATGTCTGAGGTATTATATTATTGTAGGCAGTAAACTAGTAAAGCTAAAGTAGCATTTTGGCATGACGGTGCAGAAATATGTCAATATATTGTTTTGAAAATTAAAGCAAAAGTTTTATTTAGCTTTTCTTTTTTTCTTTATTTTCCCTGCCGCCATTTCCGGTTGATTTCAATTTTTACTTATTAAAAATACGTATTCATGCGTTTAATGGTTAAAAGCGCGGACGTTGTTATTCGAAAGAGTAGTTTGAGGTAAAGCGGCAGACGACGATAGGTTAACCATTTGTGTTAAAATTTTTATTTTTTTGTTTTTTATTTCGAGCCAAGGCATTCGTAAGATATCTTTCGATATCGTAAAGATCTACGCAGCCAAAATAATCTTAGAGTTCTCCACATAATGATGAAAAAATTCATTCTTTCACGTCTCAACGTTATTACCGTGACCACGAAGAAGTCAACATAAGAGTGTACGTAATTATGATCTGATTCCTGTTTCAGAGAGTGTCGTAGTTACTCCTGGATGGTTTGCATTTCTCGTAAACACAGTGTTGGTCTGCCCACGTTATAATGCTACCTATATTTTGATATCGGGCTAACTTAAGTCGAGATTCTTCAATACAATAACACATCAGTTGGCTTAATTATTACTTGTGGTTAAGCAACGGCTAGATCCCAACTTTACCATGACAATGGCTAGAAAATGCTTGGCTCTTATTAATTACTGGTTTATACTAGAAAGGGGGTTGAGCAAATCGTTCGTACTGTGATGATCTTACAGTAAGGAAAAGTTATCTAGTTTTCCTGACTCCATCAAAAGGAAAAGGGTAAGTCAATCAGTGTTTATTCTTAAAATATCTTATATCTGAACTAAAAGTGTTTTGCGCTTTTTATTCTTACAACGATCAGAGACGATCATTGGAGTGCTGAAATTTGTTATCGGGTCACGCGTACGTTAAAAGTTTTATCAGTTAACCAAGTCTCGGTTGGAAGACAAAAAACCCTGTAACACTTCAAAAGACCTTCATGGAGAAAGAAATTGCAAATTTTTCAAAAATTTTTCCAATGTTGTTGCAATATTTGACACATGGTGTTTTCCTCTCTTAGCTGCTGGTGGCTATTAAAAATTGATGGTAGTGACAACGCATGTATGCCTTCATTGGTCTGCGCTATGCACTTCTCGATCACCACTTCATTGACGGAAGCGGATTGATTATGAATCAATCACAAATTTATTTAAGAGTAGAAAACACAATTCTTCGAAAAATGCACGTTATACTCCCTTCTCAACAGCACTTGAATTATAAGTTCATAGTAACGACACTAACTCAACTAAGTAATGAGTAGTAACGAGTGGTGCGAACTTTTTAGGCTGTTCTTAGAACAACTTAATATCAGATATATTAGGTGCGCAAATGATGGTCTTCCACTGAGGTCTTGGTTACTTCATAAAACGCACCTGAAGCATTCAAATTTCCTGAAATTTCATACACAGATAGCTTCGATATTGATATTTGAAGATGTAAGTTTCAGTTGTTTACAAGCTATCGTTCTTTTAACTGAATTAACCTGGAGACCTAGAAGATGCAGCTAACGCTGTACGAAACGCTTAAGTTGTCTTGGAATTCACATAGTCGTGAAAACCAAGAAATTCACGTACGTTTGTCCCTTTGCAACTTAGGCTGACCTTAGGCAGACCTGGACCCGTACGATTAGCACGTTTTCTGATCGATGCAGTCATGTTTAGCGGACGAGAGGTTCATAAAAGTCGGAACGGTGCGAAAATGAGACGATGTTTATTTTGCCTCGAAACCGACAAATTTCTACCGAAAGGTAGAGCTACAAGCGACACAATAAACGGCAAAACACTAAAGATGATGATGGTTTCAATTAATAAGCTTTGCAATATGTGTACTGTAACTAAGGTTGTATTTTATAAAAAAACACAACAAACTCATATGCATATCTATTATTTAATATAAGTTTATCTGTAGATTTGATCAGTTAATGAAAGACAGGTGGGAAGTTCCAAGTCTGATCAAAAGGTTGTTGCAATTTTTTCTACAAGCTAGAGGTGGACGCTTTGTAACTTATAGTGGTGGAGTTATTTTAATTGAATGGAGAGCAAGCCTTGCAAGCTTTTCCTGTAATTGAATCATTAATGTCACGTATATGTTGACAGGACACGATAAAGTTGAAAAGATCGAATTAGTTGGTTAGATCTATCCATCTATCTATGATATCTGCCTAACTTTTTGATTGATGACCTATTAACAACACAACGCAATGAATCTTTTCCTTCAACAGCTCTTATGTGAGAAATATATTAAGTGCTAAAAAAGCCATAGACGAAGCCGTTCACATTGTGGCCGAAAAAAACATTTCCTTCAGTATTCCTATCCATTACGCTGTAACGTTAATTGGGTTCTCTGGTGAAAATCCTTTAAAATGTTGCGTAATTGTAGAATCAGTCACTAATCGCTGTTAGACTTTGCATCGAAATAAGGAAGAAACGAAAGCGTGCACTTTATCAATAAGTGAGACAAGATGTTAAAAGAAAAGATTTCTGCAGGTGGATAGGCTTAAGTCCGAAGATGAAATGCCGACTTTGCTTTGTTATTTTGATCGTTTATCTAAAACTCATGAAATCGCACTTATGATGATATTTTTAAAGAAAACTAGGCCCTTACGACAGTTAAAAATCAAGAGCTTCCGACAAGAGCATCTTCCTTAAAGCTATTTACAAAGCCCAACGTGTGTCAATAAGACAGTTGAGCTTGTCCTGATAAGCATTAGTGAACAGTTTTTTTTTTTTTTTATTTAACAGTAACACACATACACACACACACACATACATACATACATACATACAGGCACGCAGTAATGCAGTTTAGTCACTGGCTATATTTATTCATATTCGTGTTTACGCATGCACTCGCTCATATACATACATATATCTGCAAGTACAAACACAAGCGTATGCATATGTACGTAGATGCGTAAACATGTGTAAAAATACATATGCAATTGTATATGTGCTCGTATTATATATATATATGTATGCGTATGCATGTGTATAGGTATATGAGCATGTATGTATGTATTTCGTTTTCGCAAACGCCTTTCACTTCAACTCCTTTCTTGTTTGCATTTCAGAGATTTTTTTTTTTTTGTTTTTTTCTTTTGTACACTTTCGAAATACACCGTAAACCGTTCGCATTGCTTGACTTATTTTTAGTTAATTAAATTAATTCTTTTTATTTTGAATTTTGAATTTTTTTTTTTTTTTGTTTTTCAATTTAATTTATACTACATTTTTTTTTTCTATTATTTTATTAAGTATCCTTTAATCCGTAAGTAAAAATATAATAAACGAAGTTTGAAAACAAAAAATAAAAACTCAAGTCATTGCATTTGTATTTCTGATCGTCTTATATCTTTTTGGTCTTAATCTTTTAAAGTGATTTCAAACGTAAACTCACCGCTGCCACTAGCATTTAATTGAACCATTTTTTATTTATTTATTTATTTTTTTTTTTTAAAGTTTATTTAATCTTTTTTTTTTTTTCTTCTTTTAATTGTTTTTCTTTCAAATGTTATTAATATTTTTAATTATTTAAGAAAATTCAATTTCTTTTTTTTCTTTCCTGTTTTTCCTATAAAGAGAGATTGAGAACGCTTTGCCTTTAAATGGCATTCTATTCTAAACTGATTTGCTTCTGTTAGGCAATTGCACGCTCGTCTAACTGACTTAGTTAGTATTTTCTTTTATTTTAAATTTTCTAAAGCAAACGTTACGTTCAGCGGACTCGAACCAAATATCGATTATTGATTTTGTTTAGTAAAAAATTTTTCCTCTTGTCGAGCGCATATTTTTGCTTTTGTTTTTTGTCTCTTGTCTTTCTTAGGAATTTTTTTCTAATTGAATTTAATCAATGTGTACTTATCGGTACTTAAAGTGGCCTGAGGGCAAGAAAAGCCGACAAGAAAAGTTATATCAAATGTACCTTTTGTTACATTTAATGTTATGCGATTCAATGCTTTCTTAGACTATTCCACACGATACGCATATTGCTCTTATCGCTTCTCGATTTCTCACTAAAAAAAAGAAGAAGAAGCAGAAAAAAAAAAAAATTAAAATAGGAAACAAAACAAAAGACTTACGCAGTTAATTTGCGTGTGTCTGTCATTTCAAAGATTGATATATGTAAGAAGGTATTGCATGTGTAGCGTGTGCGTGATTATGATAACGGGCACCAAAGTCAATATACCAGGTAGTGAAACCATAAAAGTTTTTCTACTTTTTCTTCACTTTTTCTCTTCCACGTCCATTTTATACGTGCTTAGCTCTAGATGTAAATATATATATATATATGCACATATATATATATATATTTTTTAAAAATTAAAAAAAAATTTTTTATTTTAAATATTTTTCAAATGTTCTTTTTTTCTTAGTTTTTTTATGTTTCTTCTTTTTTTTTTTTTGTTTTGTAAGAGGAAACGAATTTTAAATCCGTACATGAACCCATGCACAAATCAATTGCTGTCTAAAGTTGTTCTCAAACATGGCAGAGAAATTTAAAATTAACTGTGAATTATGCTTATGCTTTTGCACATACATGTAAGTGCATACTATATGCAAAGACGACAGAAATCTTAAAAGCAAAACTAAATCTGTTCAAACTTTCCGCAAGAGAGTTTGAAAATGGACCAAATCGGTCAACGAACACACCTATAACGCTCACAAGCCTAAGCAACAAAAATTGCGAACACCTTTGCTTTACGCTCACTCACACATCAAGTACAACATATACATCGTATAAATTTCCACTTTTATTCTGAAAATAGAAATTATCAGCCAGGCCCGCTCGTTGCAATGAAGTATGAAAATTTGGTTCTCTTCCTTATTCTATATTTTTTTTACGATGACGATGTAGTATGTAAAAGATTCGGTCGCAACCGAATATAACTTTCACATTTGTTTAAATATTAGATAGTTTTGAGCCTACAAAGATGACAATAAACGCCACGTGGATCTTTGTCATTCATTGAACTGATGTTCATATGCATTGACATTAGGGGGTAGCTTTTCTTCTTCTTCTTCGCCTTACGTTCGACACTGAATTGTGAATTTTTGCTTTCCACCCGAACTACGGCGACTATGAAAATGCCCATAACAGGTAGATGGACGAAATATTGGTTATGGAAAGCGAATGACGAAATTAATTTGAGTTCGGTGTCCGCAAAGTTGTCAAAGTCAATATGCGGCAGAGCATTTTCAAAATAATATTGTGATTGAACAAGTCCGAGACTTAATTAAATAATTTTTAGTATATCTTCCGATGCGGAATCAATTTCTTCATCACTTTCTTAATCGATTTAAGATCGTCTGTCCGTCTGTCCGTTTTGTTTTTTGTGCTCAACTTATACGCCGCAATTTTTCAGACACATTAACCATATTCGATACTCCGATGTGCTTTGACGCAAAGACGAGCGCTATTGAAAATGATTCGGATCGGCACATGTCCCATATAACGTCTTCTTTTGAAATGTCGTTATATAATTAATTTTAAGATGATATAGGGAACTTAACGGTAGGCCGTGACCCACTATGGTGTTGTTAATGGTTGATAATGACTTTTTAAGAATAGAGTGTGTTTTATAAGGAGTAGTTGTGAAAGTGGCGTTTGTCCTTGAGACAAAGAATAGAACTCTGTATAATTATATCAAAATATCGTGAAAATTTCGACTTGATTAAAAAATATACAGACAAATATCATTTGGACGGACGGACAAACATCGATGCTTAAATTGCTGCAGAAAGTAATATTGAAACGCTTTATGTAACAAAAGCTAGTTAACGTGTTGCGTGAAGCAGCGCCATCTTAAATCCCAGTAAACCTTTACCAAGGGTACTCTAGGGTATAAAAATCGCTTCATCTTGTCTTTCGATATACTTGATTGGTTTTTCTAACTTAATCAATTGTTATTGTTGGAGCTTCAAGGCGTTAAATTAATTCTTTTTTTTTTTATTTTATTTATTTATTTTTTTTTTGGTCAACGGAGGATGTCTCTTATATGTATGGTAATGGGAGAAGAAGAATTATACACTTGGCTCGCATTATTCTACTAACAAAGTTAGTGTAAGGTCATGAATATTTACTCTGTCGTCGATGTCAATATTCTATCGCTCGACAGACGCTCGACTTTGGACAAAAAATTAGTTAAGAAACGCATCGCAGAGATTGCATGCATAACGCGTAAGACGATCTTTTGAAAATGCTTCTGAGTTTCGTAATGTATCCAATATAATAGAGTTCAGTTAAAGTTTACAAAATGTATGTATATGTATGTATGTATGTATGTATGTTTGTATCGATGTGACGTAAAAGCTAAAGATGAGCATTTTGACTCGGATAAGTTGTAGTACTATGTGATATAATACAAAACAAGTAGGAACGCTATTGTTGGGCAAGGCCGATTATTACGCGCTTGCACTACTTCAAGCAGGCAAGAATACAAGACGGACAGACAAAAGTAAATTTAGAGGACCGATGGACAGACCAATTTAAATCGATGCAAAGAGTGATTCTGAATCGATGGGTATATTAAAATCTGGTCTCAAGTGCTTCCGAATGTTCTGTACATCCGCTCGAACCTAATATATCCTTGGGCCAAAATTAGTCCAGGGTAGGAGATTTAAAAGAATTAAAGCAACTGCAGGTTTTTGGCGATGTCTTAATGGACGCTGAAAAACCTATCAGGAAAGCCTATTATTATTATTAGAATTTGTTTAGATCAAAGGAACAAATTCTTGAACTAAACGTAAGATGACCATTAGCAGCTAAGATTATCGGCTCTACTTTTCTTTAAAAGTAGATCAGATAGTTAGTGTAGCAGCTTAATAAAATCAATTTAAGTTCTCCGGGTATTTTCAATATGGCCATAGGATTAATTGCCAAAAACTAATATTCGAATATTCGAAACGATTAGGCAATAGAAAGTGTATGTTTGACTGTAAGATTTTGTCCTCAAACGTAGAGCGGCAATCCATTGACATGCTATGCCTAATGTGTTGCTTTTGATTTTTCCGAAGTTGACTGGATATAGAGGTGAGACGAGATTAGGATTAACATATGGGTATTGTGGATGATAGCACTGTCGAATTTTTCGTCAGGTCAAGGTTTGCGGTCTGCACAGGCAGAAGACAGGCCATCTCTCTTGCAATGATATGTAAAAAGAGAATGCCGACCATTATTTTCTAAAAAGTTAATTTGCTCTGCGATTAATTCTCCAAAGGCGAGATTTGGCGTACGTTCTTTTTTGTATCCTGAGAGTGAAATATTTCCACAGTTGGCGCTTACATCCCAAAGTAGTTTGATCGCATAAACTTTCTTTTGCAACATCTCCCCAAGAGTTAATTGTGGATTGGAGATCTTCTTGGCAACAATAGCTTCTTTAACATCTTGCCTGAATATTGGATTGTCAGAATTGGTCTGTTTGGCTTTTAACTCGTACACTTTACTTTCTAATGTTGGAAGCACTTGTACTAGCCTTAACCACTCGAGTATGATTTCGTTTTTTACTTACATTTTTATTTTTTGTTGTTATATTATACGACACTTTTGGTGTAGGATATATTAAGTTTGTGCCGACGTAGATAACATCCAGAATGGCTTAAGATAGACTCATCTATTATTATACTGCCTATCTGGCCGTCTGATGTCTGTCCATGTATATTTGCATTCAAGCCACTGGTGGCAAATTTTTACAACAATGCGCTTTGACCCAAGGACAAACCCTATCGAAAATGGTTTGGATCGATCATCTTTTTCGGCCACCCCGGTAACGACTGTTGAAAATAAGTAAAAGTGTAATTTTCAAAGTGTTTCACTATGTAATTCTAACTTGGTATGAAAAATTTGAATCGGATGAGGGAATTTTTTCAATCCTCTCTCATATAACAAATCCCACGAAAATTGAGTCTTTTTATGGTAAAAAGGTCTAATTTTCAATATTTTGTGTTTTATAATGCATTGACTCAATTGATCAATCTTAACGAATTTACATTACGCTATATGCGAAAAAAATCGTAATTGTTCATTTTTTTGTGGTGAAAGCTTATTTATGATAATAATTAAATAAAACAAAATTAAGTGAGCCAAAGTTGAACCACTCGGGTCTATTCCTTGTATTCCTCTCCAAATTTTCCTTCAGAAAGGAATTTAATATTCAGTATTTTACGATGCAGATTGGCTCATTGTAGCCAATTGAACAGGAAAAAAAGTAATAGTAGAAAATTCGGACCTTGTCATATATAAAGGTTATCATGAAAAGCAAGCCCTTATATAGACAGAAACTCTAAATTCTTATCTTTTATGACGGAAATTAAAAAATAATAAAATTTTCAGCAAATAAATTGAGTTTGCTAAATTTGTACTCGCCATGTAATGTTTAGACCATTCGCGAATATGCGGACTTTAACGGAAAGTATGCCTTTGCATGAAAGCAATATGTAATTTTTGATGCATTATTGTCACAGACGAACGAATAATTGTACTAGACGTATTGGTATAGTG